ACTATATCGAAAATTTTCAATATAGTAAAGTTCATATATAAGTGGCATAAATCTTCACTATATCGCGACTGGCCAGTATAATAATAAATGACTCAAACGTTATTTCTACTGACGATTCAACTGTGCTGAACAATTTATATAAAATGTCATACCATTTAATTATATTATTCAAAGAACGAAGAAATAAAGGGAAATAAAAAGCGAAAAAAGACATAACATTGACTAAACGGCTATATTCTTTGATTTAATGCTCACTCACTAATACTAAGTTGTTTATTACTGCTTGCTAACAAACATATCCAAAACGCTTTGCAGTTCTTTGCCGCTTCTTAATAGCCTTATTAATATTTAGATCAAGCGATAACCATCTTACCTTATCACGCACAATTTTTGAAACGGTTGCCTCGGAAATATCGAATTGCTTCGCTATTGTAATTTGACTAACACCTCGCTCTTTTAAACGACATATTTCAGCTTTTTGGACACCAGACAACCCTCTTCTCTCCGAACTGCCTTTTTCTTTTTTCTCCCCTAAGATTAAAATTATGAAAAATGTTAGCTTCCTCTGTTTTTTTCATCAATTCTTTGAGCATAACTCCGATCTCAATCTTTCTTTAAGGAATTTTGTGTAGAATTATATATTTTATTATTCGATTATTGAATGCGCGCTCTTGAAATATAAATAATACTAAAGCACCAGAGTGATTGCATGGAGGAAAATACTCGGACCCAAAGCTATTAATGAGTATAACCTATTCTTTGGTCACTCTGGTGCAAATTTAAGTTTCATTATCCTCTTTACTATCACTATTGTTATCTATTTCTTTATTTCATCGTCTCCATCTGAGTGGTTTACATTTTCCTTTTCTTCGTCGATCCAACGTGGACGACGCCAAATGTTTGGCGATACACGAAAAACCCGTTCGGCTGGAACTTAGGTCCGTCTTCGTGGCCGTTTAAACGTTTTTGTTTGAGTTGTTCGGCTGGAACTTAGGTCCGTCTTCGTGGCCGTTTAAACGTTTTTGTTTGAGTTGTTCGGCTGAGAGAGGCATTGTTAAATGTTTTTTTGGGGGGGAAAGCTTATGTGTGTGCGTGTGGTGCGAGAGTGATAGAGAGGCTGGTTTTATTTGATTTGGTTGTTGGATTGCCTCGATGGTCTTTTCCCGCGGGGTAGGTAAAAATTTCGTATTGTGGACGCTGCAACAGCTTTTCCTTCACCAAGCAACTTATAAATTTCAAACGCCATTTTGTTAAATGAAAATTTTGGATCCGACTCGGTCCTCTTATCGTATAATTGTTTTAAAGCGTTCCACAACGTTTTAATTTCTGGCGAGTAAATTTTGTTCGCTGGTGGTTTCGTTTTTGACGATTTTTTGGACTTCATAGTCTTGGTCAGTAGTTCCATGTTGTGGAGTTGCCTGTTACAAATTATGCCATTTATCAACAGGCCGAGAACGAAGCCAATAAATACTCCAAAAAAGAATTCGCTTGTGAATGTAAGCATTTTTCGTGGTGTTGACAGATTTGGTTTAAGATGTATTGTTTCAACGATATTTATTGCGTTGTGGTTGATTTTGAAGTAAGTTAACCGGTGTTTTATAATAAAATATTCGTTTGTTCATCATACACTGCGGCGCAACCGAGCAAGCATACGGAAGCTGAGTATGACGAAGTGAAGGCGAAGTTGAAGAGACTCGATGATCTGAGAAGAGGAAACATACAGGAAGACTGGGCGGGCGAGAGAGCAGAGTTGGAGATGGAGCGTGACGAGCTGAAAACGAACTTAGAATATTGGAAGGGGGAAATGAAGAGGCTGACCTCTCAGCCAGGCCAGGTAACGACTTTGTGACTCGGGCGTTGGGGATATAGAGTAGTGTGTAGAGTAGACGTAGTATTGCGAGTTTGTTGGGAGAATGATACTAAGTCAGTGTTTACACAGTTTTATGGAGAAGGTTGTGAAAGGTTACTGTTGCTGGGGGTTTTTCAATCGATTTCCATATTGTGCCTCCTGTTTCAATTTTGGTTACACAAATACGAGTAAACGAAAGGCTGAGGAGGAATACAATGTGATTACGCCTAGTAAGTTGCTTATTATTTGCAGTGAGAAAGTGTTTAATAATCTCTAGCCATAGAATTGTCTGATTTTTTTTTTGTAAATCAGAGCGTCGCTTCTTCGCTTCCGCAAACGAGGCTTACCCCGATTCGAATTTCTATATCGAGCCTATAGTCGAAACTGAGAGAGTGGCACAGTTACTCCTTCAACGCGAGTTTACCCCCTTGTTTGGGCACAGGCAAAGTGGGAAATCTACAGCTTGTCACGCGATTCTACGCTGGCTCCGCACTCATCCGGAAGAAATTAGAGAAGCTGGCTTTGATCCGCAGAAATTAGAAATATTTCTTGTGACTTTCGATGCCAATGTTCTTGTTGATTAAGGGCGTAACACGTTCTGGAAAGCGTATGTGAAAGGTTCAAAATTATAAGCAATGACCGGTTCAGTTTCGATGTTAGACAGCAATGCTCGGGGAACACCTTCATGAGATTTTTTGCAAAAGATAAACCCCTTGTGCAAAACCAAGCTATCATCATCATTGATGAGGCCTCACGTCTGACCAGCAATGATAACGAACAGGTCATTACCGAGTTTATTGATTCGCTGCGGACTCTCAAGGGTGATCGTGATAATTTTCGCCTCTATTCTCTTTTACTCTGTGGGACTGCAAGCATTAGGGATCTTCTGCTTGCTCGCCAACGACCTGGATCTATGTCATCAATTTCACCTTTTTCAGGAGAGGCAAGCTTGACATGTAATCGATTTACTGAAGCTGAAGTCCACGATCTTTTTACTCAATTTGCTAAATGTAATAATTCAGAGTTTGATGCTGCCAATATTGCAGTGGATATTTTTTTATCTCACCCTTGGCCATCGAGGTCTCGTTGGCGCTTGTGGTGATTATATTCAAACTACATATTCTTATGAGAATACTTGCATTATAACACTCGATGATTGGAGAAAGCATACTCCTGTTAAACTGCTAAATCGCATACTGCAGATGTCAACATATGCATCCATTGTGCGAAATCTTGATACTCTCACACCCCAACGTCGACATATACTTATCAAAACTTTACGTTTCGGCACGTGCCAAATTGATCCTGTAGATTAATTACCTCTTCATAATCCACTATTGCCTTCGGACTAACTCATAAATATGTTCTTCTCTCTCAACAACATAGGAACGATGAAGATGCAAAATATCTCCTTGCTGAAGGAATGATATTTGTGAAACGGGAATTGGATAATGGATGTTGGGAAACCGAAATTAGTGCACCTATCCTCCGTAGCTTAATAATTTCACCCATAGTTCTGCCTGATATATCTATATCCAAGGTCCCGCTGAATGCAACAACACTTGATCCTCGATGGCTGTTGGCACGCACAACAAGTATGGTTTTTAATGAATGTTTATTGTTACTGATTAACACTGAGGCATTTGATCCCTAATATTAAATGCTTATTTCTATACAGAATTTATGCATTCGGAACATCTACTCTCAACAGACTCTGAATGCAAATGAACACCCATCTGAATATGCATTTCAGTCAGAGTTTGCTACCGTCTTCAAAGTTAACTATTTAGGATTAGTGTGTGTGACACGTATAGGAATACGTTAGCACTGGAAAAGCCCAGTTTAAAGGTCACTAACTGTTTGTTACGATTTAGCTATCGCTGAGGTGAGCCACACTCCTACGACTGCGCAGCTAGATCCCAAACCGAGACAGTAGTTATTATTATCCGCTCTCCCGTGACTATTGCCTCGACAGTATCCAAATTTGGGATACAAAGTTTTGGTTGAAGCAAAGGAGGAGTATTAGTATGTGAAAGGCAACAAACAGCGTCAGCGTTTAGACCTTCTCATCCGTAATGGTGCTGCATCCCCCGCATATTGTTTTGAGCTTGTCATTTCAGCTAGCAAGAAAAATTTCAAAAACCACATCAAACGTTCACAGTGCTACAGAACAACCTATAATTGTACTATGTTTATGGTTAACCTATGTCCTAAACCCCACGTTGAGTTCCTATTTCGGAAAAAATGATGATGACAATGATGACAAGAAACTGAAGGAGTATGAGGAGGTTGATGTGACCCCGTAAATGTCACCATAAGAAAGAATGCAGAGAAGGCATGGGAGGGAGAGTTAAAGTATGAGGATAGAGAATTTGAAATTGTGTCTGTTAATGATTCCCTACACAAGACGCGTGTTTGTCTCTTAGATGACATATGTTTGTACTACTTGATTACCGTATAAGTATAAATGTTATCTGTTTTTCAGTCAGACAACTGTGCACACTGTCTATTCGAACTAATCAAAAAGCTGAAGAGTCATTGTAAATAAAATCAATAAAATCAATAAATAGTGGTACCTCCATATTAATATATGAAGAATTATAATTGTAATGGTTCGACTGAATACGAAAAAGCCATGCGTTTCTTAGAGATAGGCTGCAACTGTGGTTGTTCGAAAATGATTCCGAAAGAAAAATTTGCTGAACTACATGAGGTGTTTCAAGCCCTCTCTAGACCCGAGCAAGATATATTTGTAATGGCCCAGTTAAAAGCAATGAATGGCGGAGAAATAACTGCCAGTCGGCGTCTTAAAAATAAAACGCGTACTAATAAGCGAACGTTTTACTACTGAGATCGCAATACGCCTCTGTGTCAGAAAACGTATCTTAATATGTTAGGAATTGGTCGCACTCACTTCGAAAACGTCAGAAATTATCTAGCAACGAATGGTATAATACCGCGTGTTCATGGTAACATAAAACGAATGCCGCGATGGAAAACCAAAATAACCATTGATATAAACGTTGCTACTGCCGTAAAGAATTTTCTCGAAAACTATGCGAAAATCCACGGACTACCAAGTCCTGGTAGAAATGTCAATCGCATTACTCAATCGCTTACACTTTAACGAGTTATAAATCAGTCTATCGTAATTTTATTGCAGGTCTTAAAAACGATAGCGTGTTGAAATTGTTAAAATATGATGCATAACTCAAGAAAAGTTTAATACTTAAATTTTACAAGGATAAAAGAATACAAAGCTCTCGAGTTAAGAAGAGGAGATAAATGACATTGCAATTTTTGCTCTTTTGAAAAAGAAAGAAGTTTAAATGTTACAATACCAGCAATAATGATTATATAAATCAGCTCCTCATTTATAGAATGTTCACTTTGTCTGGTTTTGTTGCAGTCTGCCCCATATTTTATTCAGTAGATTAAGTTTATTGCCAACACTACTATTGAAATTCAAACTCTTTTGACAAAATGAAAAAAAAAACAAAGAACAATTATCTTTTTCAATAATATATTTATATTGTTAATCTGAATGAAATCATGTACACAGTCTTTACAAGAAACTTTGGAAAGAAGTACTTTATGCATACATTATCTAAAAGTTGTGAATTAAAATTCATGATCATTTTACTTGTTTTAGAGAGGACCATACATTATTAGATAATTATAATCATGAATTTGATGTCCACAGTTGATTAAACAGATTTACTATATAATACTGATTAAGACTGAATTGAGCCTGAGCATGCCCCTGTGCAGCAGCTTGTTGAAACAATTCAATTGCTTTTTGCTCATCTTTTTCTACTCCAGTTCCTTCTGCATAGCATAGAGCAAGAGTATATTGAGCCTGAGCATGCCCCTGTGCAGCAGCTTGGTTATACAATTCAATGGCTTTTTGTTCATCTTTTTCTACTCCATTTCCTTCACTATAATGCCGGGCTAGATTAAATTGAGCATGAGTATGCCCCTGTTCAGCAGCTTTTTGAAGCAATTCAATTATTTTTTGTTCATCTTTTTCTATTCCAGGATTGGTACTGGTAGCATAACATGCAGCAAGGTTATATTGCGCAGCTGCAAGGCCTTGTTCAGCTGCTTTTTTATATAATTCAACTGCCTTTATTTCATCTCTTTCTATTCCACTTCCCATATCATAGCATAGAGCAAGATTCAATTGAGCAACAGCATGTCCATGTTCAGCTGCTTTTTGGTACAATTCAACTGCTTTTATTTCATTTTTTTCTACTCCAACGCCATTATCATAACATAGGCCAAGATTAAATTGAGCATTCACATGCCCCTGTTCAACAGCTTTTTGATATAATTCAATCATTTTTTGTAGATTTTTGTCTACACCAGTCCCATTTGCATAACATTGGGCAAGGTTATATTGAGCATCTGCATGCCCCTGTTTAGCAGCTTTTTGATACTCTTCAACCACATCCTTTGCTTTTTCTTCTCTGGTATAATGTGAAGTGAGATTATTTTGGGCAAGGGTATGTCCCTGCTCAGCTGCTTTTTGATATAATTCAATTGCTTTCTGTTCATCTTTTTCTACTCCAATTCCATGCTCATAACACCAACCAAGATTATTTTGTGCATCTGTGTGCCCTTGTTCAGCAGCTTTTTGATACCATGCAATTGCTTTTTCTTCATTTTTGTCTACTCCAGTCCCATTAGTATAACATACAGCAAGATTATACTGAGCACGATCAAGTCCTTGTTTAGCAGCTTTTTGATAATATTCAACTGCTTTTTGTTCATCCTTTCCTATTCCAATTCCTTTCGAATAAAAGATACCAAGGTTGCATTGAGCATCTTCATCTCCTTGTTCAGCAGCTTTTTGATAATATTCAAATGCTTTTTGTTCATCTTTTTCCACTCCAATTCCAAGATCATAACATAGACCAAGATTAAATTGAGCACTTGCATATCCTTTTTCGGCAACCTTTTTATATAATTTAAATGCTTTCTGTTCATCTTTGTCAATTCCAATTCCATCAACATAGCATACAGCGAGATTGCATTGAGCACGTGCATGTTCCTGTTTAGCGGCTTTTTGATAATACTCAAATGCTTTCTGCTCATCTTTGTCTATTCCAGTTCCATTAGCATAGCATACAGCAAGATTGTATTGAGCATTTGCATGTCCCTGTTCAGCAGCTTTTTGATAATACTCAACTGCTTTTTGTTCATCTTTATCTATTCCAGTTCCATCAGCATAGCATACAGCAAGGTTGTATTGAGCACTTGCATGTCCCTGTTCAGCAGCTTTTTGATAATACTCAACTGCTTTTTGTTCGTCTTCGTCCGCGGCCTTTTGATATAATGCGCTTTGGTTCATTCTGTTATAAGGCGTATAGTAATAGTATCGGTATAGAGCGTATTGGTGTCACATGATAAGGTTTGATGCATTTTCCTGTTGAACAGCGAAATGTGATTGATAACGATTCCCCGAGTACAGGTTAGAATTCTGTCGTTTGGCATTTACGGGTATATATTACAAAGAATCCCTTGTTACGAAAATGATTATAATACGAACGCTCTTACGTCAAAACTTTTCTTTGAATTAGTTCCCGTTCTTTAATCATGGCATCGAACCGCACACGCACGAAAACATTTTGATTTAAACGTAATATATTCTCATTGATGTAGTTAGTGTATACCAAAAAAAGAGATAAAACCTTTTATCTAATAATACTCAAAATTTTATGTTCTTTAAGTATGATGTGTAACGTTTAGAAATACTCTATACATAATACGCCCACATTAAATAATAGTCTGTTCTATGACAACACAAAATTTGCCGACTCAAGCAAGCTTCCAGCTCGCAGCAGATACTTGTCCGAGCCTACGTAATACTTCTTGCGTGCCCTTGATAAAGGTCGTTCTGTGGTATGGTATGTTATATTTCTCACAAAGAAGTTGTATTTTAAGTTGAACTTTGTGGAAATGATGTCGTGGCATCGTAGGGAATAACTAATATCAAAAGAACAATAATTTATGCGCAAGCATAGAAAGAGTTAGAATTACAAAGAAGTGCGCCAACAGTATCTCAAAGCCAATTGCCTTACGGGAAGAGAAACACACATCTTAATTACTTACATGATGTTCGATCTGATAATTTAAACCTCCGCAGAACCAATCAACACACCACTGAAACGACGGGTTGCTAGCTATGATATCTCTTCCAGTCACTACTTGTTGAGCGAAAAAGTCCATATTATGAGATTCCTCCATGGTGAGAATTTTCATGCCATTGTGATTCAGCACGAAGACTAGGGAAATAAGTAGTCCGCCCATTGCTTGTGATGTGAAATAGAATGCCAACGCCAACCAGGCTTTTGGTATAAATAGGTATATTGTAATAAAATACCAGGCGTGATGTAGAACTAATCCAACCAATTCTGCAGGATTTACTGGCATGCGTGGGTCGTTTGTTTCAAATTTCTTCCAACCTGGCAGAACAAAGAGGAAACTTTGAATGCACCATGAAATGCGGGCAAAATGCAATATGGGGAAATAGAATAGTGGCTGGTATTTGACTAGAAACCGGGAAACTTCAGGCGAATATATAGTCGGTGGCGCATCATTTTCGGAAGTAAATAAATCTGACAGAGCGTATTCGGACCAGGTGAGAATAGGGTGAGTAGAAATGTCAGGATCTTGACCGTGAACATTTGGTGAAGCGTGATGTGTGTTGTGCTTGTCCTTCCACCTCCACGTGCAAAAAAAGAAGAATGATTATTACATGTATAATGGAGATGTAATTTGTTTATGTTAATGGAACACTGTTATACCAACTAGGAGAAAAGCCCAAGCATATTGCTCCAAGGAAATGTGCCATGACATTATTCCATTTTCTCTGTTCAAACACTTGATGATGCAGGAAATCGTGTGACAACCAGCCGCATTGTTGCCAGAAGACGCCCATGAAAAAAGATGATAGAAGCACCCCTGAGAGTGTTCCTCCGTAGCGAATCAATATGGAGACCGATATGGTGAGGATGCTAAGGTTAGTTAGCACCTTGAAAGTGTAATACGCTTTGGAAGATTCAAAATAACCAAGATTCTTGAACTGCTGTTTCATATCACGCAGTTCTGTAGTAAATCCTATATAAGGTATGTCATACGGCTTTATGAATCGGTAGTTCGTACAGACGTCTCATAACTACATAACAAGATGCAAAAGTGTAAAAACCTTTCTTCGAAGTGACCATATCATCAGCTGCAATATCGCCAACGTAAAGGTTGGCTAATATCTCGTAAGCACTTTCTGGATGGAAATTGCTAAACGCATCTTTAAAAGATGAGTTATCTAGTCAGATAAAAACTTATAATTGGCGCAGCAAAAGTTGAACTTAATGTCAACTTACCGGTGGCATCCTTGCCTATGTGAGTCAAGATCACGGCCCCACCAGGGTGGTCGCGAACAAAGTCCCGGATGTCATAAACCTTATTATCAATTATTATGTTCCAGGGCTCATCCATGCTATAATCCGTTTGATTTTGGCCATGGTCCAATGATTTCACAATGTCGGCGCGACGAAAAGTTTTGGGACCTTTATTATTGGTAGGGGCTTTAGACGAAGCAATACGCTCACGGATTAAACTAAACGAAAACGACGCGGAAACAAGAAAAGGCAATTAATGAGGAATACCGTCGAGTATTAATTCTGAAGTAACATTGGGCGGCATCTTCTTCAACTAGGACAACGCAAACGTAAGAACACACTACGGAGTATTATTGATGCTGTATATAATATCGATAAACAGAACCATTCGTGGCTTAATAATGATTTGCGAAAGATATATCAGCTTTGGTCGAACCGTTAATTGTTATTGACAACACCTACCTTTGATCAAGACGTATCAGCAAAAGTGCCGAATTAACTAAACATTGACTATATATAAAAAATTTTCATATTTGATGTTTATTGTTATGGAAAAGGAATAATGTGGACAATCATATCACTCTGCTGATGTGGTGCTCCAATTACCTTTGTTGTTTTTAATTGAGCCGTATTCCATTGCAAATACCGGTAAAGCGAGAAACCAAACTTGAATTTGTAATACTTCGTTAACATGCAAAGTCTGTTGCCGCTCAAAACGTCTCCTGTTTTAGACAAAGTACTATATTACTAAATTACACAAAGTCTTAAATATGTACAAATTAATAGCGTTCTTGAAATTCAAAGTTTATTCATGTGTCATTCTAACATGTGGTTTTTCCGCACATTGTCCCCAAAAGCTGTGCGCACATGCAAGAATATGCAGCTATCAGGACATTTCTGGATATTCTTACTGGCATTTACTTATTTGGGTAAGCTGGTGCCACTGACAAATTCATATGAAACCTGACTCACAATACTAAATATGTTGCTGAGTATGATATTATACGTATCGCGCAATCAGGATTCCATCTTCCCATTCAGATCATCAATAATTCATATTAAATAAATGACGAGGATCTTATTCTATTATAATTATTATAAATATAAATAACGTGGTATCTTTTTAATTGCTATTTACAGTAAAAGCTTTGGGGCGTTTTTTTTTGACATTGATCGCCCCAAATTTCTATCAACCAATTATGAGAGGTTAGAATACTGTTTTCGGATAGTCATTGTTTAGATCTAAGCAAAGTAAAAAAGTTTCATGTTTACTATATATAATGTCTGACATATGTTTTGCTGGGAACCTATTGTTAATACTTTAATCTTAGCAGATCCAGCTCACTATTCATCTTTACTTTGCGCACATTCTCTCTTGAAATATATTTCTGTCGATCAATCGGTAAAAACTTTTTTTCTCGAAGAATTTTCCATTGATCAAGTGGCGGTGTATGCCTTAAACTCTATAAAAGTCTTGCATGTGTAACAATAAATTGATAATCTAAATATAAACTTCGATAACATGATTATCGCCAAGCGCGAACATGTTTGACAGACGACAGCTATAGTAATAGTCAATGAACTTGGCTAAATCTGGCAATTAATTAGGACCAAGCTTCATGAGCGCAAAATTTTCTGGCATCAGCTAGTACCATTGGTCTAACTTGTAAAAGTCCTTTGTATAAATCTCGGGAAGTTCTATGGCTTTAATCAGTATTCTTGAATTTTAATAGAACAAGTTGATTTTTTGACAAAACGGTATCTGTTCAATCGATTAATAATTTATAATAATAGACTACAGTACTCGTTAGTCCAGATCACTTAATAGTTACTGTCATTTCTGATTTATTTAGACGGACCATAAACTCGGAACATAAGATCGTGGATAATGGCGCTTTGTTATCATTAACATTTGAACTGTCAAGCAACTAGGCTTAATATCTAGTCAATCCTGTCTTTAAAGGAAACGTTTCATCGATGCCTCGTTTTGCTATAGTTATAGGACAGAATTATCTGATATAATAGAATATCGGAATGGAACCGACATTTAATGTGACAGATGAAGGCAACGTCGGATTAAAACGAAAATTGGGGAGACAATTTTCCAAGCTTTTGTTAACAAAGAGTATTTAATATGTGGGTTCAGTGGCATTAAAAGAGGTCCAAGAAAACCTCAATTTATTTTAATCCGATTTCGTTTATGTACGTTGAGTCAACTACCGCGGGAGAGCGTCCTGAAATCCAGTTAGTGACCTTAACGCAATACACACAGTTTCCAGACATTAAATTATGATGGTACTTTCTGTATTCCAAGACAACAACAAAACGTGGGGAAAAGAATGCCCAAAGACATTTACGAATTAAAGTTGAAGATCAGATCTATTACTATAAAACTCATTGTGAACTGGGATTACAAAAAAAGACATTAAAATTTCGTGATAAACTTATTCTGGTCATTAATTAAATGAATAAAGCAATCAATAAACTTTTAAATAACTTACTTTTATACGCTTTACTATTAAAGGATTTTGATGCCGTAAATTCTCGTAATTAACAATCATAAGTACTAATTTATTAATTATGCACCCCGTTGAAGCTTAGAGACTATCCCATCGATTTAGGATAGAGCATATCTGCAGAGTGATTAACCGTAGAGAACCTACGATATACGGTCGGTTATCCGGAATGGCCTTTGCAACACGTGACGTGACTTGTCATTTGTGTTTTACAATACGATTGTTGGGCCCAACAGAAAGTTCTGATACGTTCATGTAATACTGGGCGATCGTTCATATTAATATGTTTATTGTAATAGATTTTTAATGCTACGTTGATAAAACTAAGGGGGGTTTCGTTTCTTTATGTATTTCTTTGGCAGAGGTCAACCAATAATAATAATGTGCAATTACTTGATGTTGTACTTCAAGCAGGAAAAAAAAGGTTTCGTAAGGACAAATCAATTATGTAAATAGATGTGTTTCTTTTTGTTATTCTAAAAAGGTTGTTTTTTCGCAATACACTGTATAAAATTCTATTCAACAATTATTGTCACAATTTCTGCAATTCTCCATTATTGATGCATGACATAATTCTTATGAAATTTTCAGCCCCATATTAACATTTAATATTAAATCCATTCTCGATGTCTCAACGAGAATTAATGTTTCTTATAGTCTAATTTACCGTTATCATATTCAAAATTCATAATAGCCAACTGACGCTCTTATAACGAAAATTATATAGAACGTCGTTTATAATGGAAAACTGGATACCTGCTACAACGAAGAAAAGGGCGAAACGAACCCATATCGCTATATCAATGTTCACTGCGTACTATTAACGCATTTTTCTGGCCTTTCGGGTACAGGACCCAAGAATGCTGATACAATCATGCATATAAGTAAGGCACCAGCACTCGTCCAAAGACAGGCATCAAGTCCTACATAATAAAACAGTGTACCTCCTACGATCAATCCAACCAACCTACCCATTGCATTAGCCATATAATAGAAACCTATATTTATCGCAACCTCATCAGTACGGCAATAGGAGATAATCAAAAACGAATGAATCGATGAATTGACAGCCAAAACGAAGGCAAAAACGAACAATCCTGTGAGAAATAAAGCGTAGAAGGTCGTGTTTGTCTCTTTGACTGTAACAACAATAGCAATAGCAATGGTTACAATCATCAGACTCAAGGTCGTTTGAACAAGATACGTAGCTTTCTTAATTGGATATATTCCAATCGGCCGTAGAATGAGCGTTGGTGTGCTCGACTGCACCGCGCCATAGAATATTTCCCATCCGGCAAGTAGAGATGCCGTGGCTATGAACGACCACTCAAATGTACCTCGAAGGAATAACGGTAATGATACTTGAAACCACATATCTCTTGATCCGAATAAAAATATCCTCGCTAATGAGAGTACGTTCACATCTTTCCCTTTATCGAATATTGTTCTTAGAGTTAAGACCCTCACACGCCCACTGACGGCCAACTGACTGTCTAACCATAGCATACAGGGTGCTAAGATAATAGCAATCATTCCCAACAACACTGACAATGACACCCTGTAGTTCAATAATTTCAACAAGAATGCTCCCCATGGGAGTCCCGCCCCTCTGATAGAGTTTTTCGCACCAGTTATGCGTGCAACAGATCTGAACAACTTCGGTTGATGTTCACTATCCTCTTGAGTAACCAGCCTAGCCATCGACTTTCCACTCACTTTTACCATATCCTTTGCAATGCCATTGAAGCTGTGAGCTAGAGAAATGTACATGATAACCCAAGTACGCGGCCAATACTCTTGCAGACCGATTAGAGTACCAATGCCGATTAATTGGAAGATTAGACCAATTACGAGACAGAATCGAAGTCCTTGACGTGCTGCAAGAAGGCCAGCGACGAGATACGTGATCATACCAAAAATTTCGTATAGAATAAACATGGTTGAAATTTCGAGTGCCTTGGAGGAGAAGAGCCAGTGATTCAATGATAAGCAGTCAGTATATGGTATTTAGTAAGTACACCCAGCCTTTATTTAATATTTACGTTGTATTTTCGTTGGAATAGTTCTAACAATATAATCATTCCCAAGGCCGAATCTATAAGTGTGAACAACAGATACGCGCTTATGATTATGTAGAAATTGCGCATTGGGATCACGGATGCAGTATTTCTTTTGGCTTGTTCTGCCTCCTCTAACTGCCGTGTCGTTTCAGTACTAATCTCGGCTGTATCCTGTTCGTCGTTAAGTGACATCTTAAATGACCCTGGATGTGAAGATAGCAACTTGCACTGCAGCATGATTTCACTATATCACTGATTGCGTTTTATTATTAATCATATCGCTTTATTATTATAGCAATTCTCGAATGTTGGTTTTTATAATACGATCACCTCCCAATGCGGTCTCTGTATGGTATTCACTCTGCCAGTTTTGTGTGACTCTTAACGCCTTCACGATTTATTATATCATATCAAAAGGCAATGGTAATTTCTTATATCATAACAAGGTAATGAAGTAAGTGCTATAATTTATTATATCATATGTGGCATGTCTTTGAATGATTTACAACTTTGTAATACAAGGGACAATAAGATATTGATTTGCATTTTTTCATTGAAATATGCGTTACTATATATGGTAAGTTGGCTATTTAAAACGCTTGCTTTAGTAACTGTTGGGCTTAAAGCTTATTGTAGGCCATAATGCATGATGAATAATGCATGATGAATTTGCTAATAGAAACCATTGACCCAAATTTCTCCGCATACCGTGAATAGGCCCTTCTTTAATAACATAACTATAGTTTATTACACAATAACGTCTACAACTTTTCATGCGATTACGGACGCGTCCAAGTCAATCATACTATATAACCTTCGCCACCTCATTATATAGCCGTCGTTTATATCGCAAGCCGTCCATATCGATGTCATTACATGTCTCGCCGCCGCCGCCGCATTCGACTTCTGAACGGTTACCTTCCCACGCCAGTGGTCAAGCTAAATGAGTGAACCTTTTGTGTTCTGGAAGAAATTTGAAAGTGCTGAAGCAAACCGTTTCAGAATTGATGTGCTCGAGGACTCACTTCCAGGTCTTTTCATAAAGCCAGTCATTCTTATTGTTGAAGTTTTGACAACGAGGACTGGACTATGGAATTCGTGATTTTCTGATGATGGCAAGCATCAGGGTTTTCCTCAACCAAAAGTGAAGTTGAATATCTTTTCTTTTAAACAGTTCATGTTGATACTTCAATTTACTCAGTATTGCAACAGGTGTCTCATTGTGCATTGACCGCTATTTATTAGTATGCAATGTTTGATGCGTTTCCATGCGATAGACGTTGTCCCTCTAAGAAACCAACACGGCAAACGTAAATGTACATTAAGCAGAACATGTATAATTAAGTAGTTATCCCTCCCCTTTTGTTTACCATGCGGGCTGGAATGGTTCCGTTCAGATTTTTCTGAGAATTATTATAATACGTACTAGCACCAAAGTGTTATAAAGCTAGTTAAAGAACACATGACAGGGAGAGGAGCAATACTAGTCAATAATTCCGACACTTTTTATAATAGTCCGTCGTATGCGGGCGCCTCTGTTTTTTGATCGACTGTACATTGACTGGTCTTCTCTCTTTTAGTTTTTTTTTTAACATCGATCTCATAAGTCATTAGCATAGAACGAAGTTTCCTCTCCCCCCTTTTTTTTACGGGGAGGATGTACAGGGATAATCGAATATTTCAATTTAGAGTCAGATATATAGTAAGTTGAATATGCTGTGACTGCTAACATACCGAGAAAAGATTTTCAAGCCCACTAACCCAAAGTTATTTTATTGACGCTTTAAAAACTCGTACTATTCTATTAGATTTGCATGGTGTTGCAATCCGGTGACTATGGCCAGGGTATGCTGGATGGCAATGAAGAAAAAGCAAAGAAAATAGTGCCTTTGTTTTCAGTGTGTAATTACGGGTTATGGTTTACGATGAAATTCTTCAGTGCATATCAAAACGATCATGTATTACCATTCATAACCGCAGAGGCAATAATATCGCTTGTCCAAAATTGTGTTTGCTCCAAGCTTGACATTTTCGATTGCGTACAGCAAATTTGGACGCCTTATGCTTAATCGACAGAGTTGTGTATAAAATTAATACACTTCTTTCTCACATAAAGTTGATAAAAGGACCTGACGGCATATCCTATTATAAAATGGGAACAGACTGCAACAAAGTGACAATGGATCATGTGATTTAAAATAGCTGGTGTGACTTGGATGCCATACACCTTATTTGGGCAGTTGGTGTATCTCTGTCAGAATCGGACTTCAGTCGGCCGAAGCTTGGCATAGTTCAAATAACAAATTTCAACTATACTGTAGATTTTATCTTAAATAGGGTAAGAAAGATTTCCTTACTATAAGGGGAACATGCCTTTTTTGTTTTTTGTTGTTGGACTTGCCTAAAATCAAAATATTTTCGCATCAGGTTTCAGCTATTGATACAGCAAAGTCGTGTGCAGAAGAGGAAGAAATCATAGCCTTTTTTTTTTGTAAATTCCAAATATGACTGCCTGAGATGTTACGTATAGAGACAACATTAGTACATTTTAATACGTTTCTGTCTAAATTTGAAAACGTGCCTAGTTGAGATGTTATTATGCACGATCTAAATGTCACTAAAATTTAGATTATTGATTTTGGGCATAAGCCACTGTTATAAATCGAGCAAAGCCTCACCAAAATTTATCGACTAAATTAATTAAATTTCCACCTGATGATGAACTTCGGAACTTCAATGTTATGAATCAAACATTCGTCTCTTCATTGAATGCCAGATCGAACAATTGATGGAGTCTCGCATCGATCACTTTAACATTATTTTAATTCAAAGCACAAAGCGCTGCAAATAGGGGAGGTGAGCACGTATAAATGTTGCACAAAGTTGAACGTAAATTTTAATACAAAAGAGCAAAATTCAAGTATAAATTTATTTCATAATATATACTGGGATCCGTCTGTACGAGGCGGAGAACAAATCCTTGTCCTTAATATTAAAGATTCGAGCCACATCAGCCTCTTTTCACACACATAATAATAATCATTATTCACTTTGACCCTATATCGCCTGAACTAAAAATAGAGAAGCAAGAAGTTTAAATTACCTTTTTACTATATTAAGTATAATGCAGTAAACAAGACTATAAATAATTAACAAAGAAATTATGGACTATGCTTCATTTAGTTTCACAAGTTCTGACATACCAATTATTTTGTAACTGAAACGAGATTTCTCCCGTATCGACTACTGTGCTCCGACCGATAGTGTTGCATGTTAACGACAGCGCCTGCATATTTAGCGAGATCTCTGCGAAATGTTTCATCGAAAACGTACATCGATACCTAAAAAATACGTGCTCCATGTTTCCCGTTTAACACATCGATCGCATAAACTTAAGGGGGGGGCTGGGCTTTTGTGGTGCACAAAGAATTTCGTCGGAGGTACGAATTAATGACCTTTCCCAAAACCGTAATAATAATTAGTACAGATCTCCATCACTTGAACGAATTAGAGATGAGAATTGGTTAGTGTTTTTCGTTGCAACATTTAATTAAAAACGAGATATTAATATGGGAATGAGAGAGTATTTCGCTGAACACGGCTTTATGCTAGTTTGCCAATGTCAGAAACATATATATCTAAAGTACTTACCTGGGACTCGAGGGACGCCTCCCTTACGCTACCTTCGACTCGTCGGCGGAAGCCTTCAAGACCCTTCCTCGAACCCTTACCGTGTAGCCAAATAGCAAAAGAGAAACTAAACAAACATCCATGGCTCTTTATAACCTTAATAATACTAGCTCTATTGATTGCCTCTGCAGTAGTACTGCCAAAAATGTCACATTCCAAACGCAAGTCGACGCCATCACGCCCGGCAATACTCAAACATGAAATCCTCTCCAAAGTTCCCAATCGACCGCACTCCCTCATCGATGACGAATTTCAATGGGACCAATCCTTCTGCAAAAGCTCTCCATGTCGTTATCTCTTCCCCGTCTTTGTTGGCGGAACCGAAACCAATTCCCATTTCCATCTCCAACAAGTTGCCCTCCTCGCTGGGCGACTCAAGCGAACGGTCGTGCTACCTAATTCTGACGGCAGGCGGTTTAGCGCGTGTCGCAGATCTTCCTTCGAAAGATACTTTTCCAATGAGACATTAATACAAGCAAGCGCGCATTTTAGTTTTGTCACCCAAGATAAATTCTTCGAGTGGGCACGATGGCGCGTGACAGAGCCAACTGCTCAGTTTGTGATTATGGACAGACCGCCTCAACCAGATGAAAAGAAACCGCGAAAGTTTTCAGACATACAAACATTGAGCAAGAGGCAATGCGTTGATGATTATAGCTTTGATTACGATTCGTATGAAACTATCGAGTTTAAAGTAAAGCCCGGTTATGAACTGTCGGATGCCGCGACGGCAGCGGCTTACAGCGACCTGATTGCTCATTTGCATAGCAAAAAGGCGTATGGAAAGAGTAAATTGTTCGAAAACAGAACAGCAGATGTGTTATTGGTTTATTACAACTTGGAATCTCCACTGTTGCCTGTTCCAATCGAGGGTCCACCTTTGATGTATTTGGACACCTGGTATAAAGAAACTCGTAAGGTTATTGACAGCCTTAGGCCATATATTGCGGTCAGCTGGGGTAAGTGCATAACAGTAAATATCGCAATTCCGATCTTTGTTGAATATATCGTAAATATTAAATCTGCTTTTGGCTTATATATAGCTATAGATATGTTACCCAAGCATATTGTCCCGGTCTGTGCGGAGCGGTTAGTTGCCCGTTTGGATGAAATAAAACGTGAGACAGGCATAAAGAACATCTATTTGGCCATAATACCCTCTCATTGGCGTGAAAATGTAGGATTTCATCAGGAGGCGTTAACATATATAAATGATCATATCAACTTTATTACATGGTCATCATTCCAGGAACAAGCAGCTGCCGCTAAACAAGCCGCTGCCGCTGAACAAGCCGAACAGGAGCAAATACAAGCAGGAAATGATCAATTACTTTTATCCAATACCACCAGCACGGCGTCGTCAACAGATGGTGTCTGGGATGAAGACAAGTTGGGCAATGTAGAACCAGGATTATTGACAATTTTTAATCAACTAGTCGTGGAACAGGCTAACTACTTTCTTCGTGGGACTGAAGAATGTTCTCGCGTTACCCCATTCATTCAGCAAGTGATTGGATTACGCGAACAAGAGACTAGAAACCAGATCGACTGGAAAGAAGACATTCTTAACATTAATGATAGGGAAATGGACGAAAAGGTGTTGGCTACGCGACGGTGGAACGTAGTAGATGTTTGGTGATATCAATAAGACACTATTTTGGGGGATGAGATGAATTAATGCAGTTAAATTAAATTTATAGACTATTTATAATGTAATGTTTCATAGGGTTGGTCAGAGTAGCTGAATCTGGCTTGATGATAGACTTTGTAAATACATCATTAATAGACTAATATATGCACTTGTCACTATGTCACTGTTTTACTATTTTCGCTTTTTCACTGTTTTTCTTTGAATATTTGCATATTCACCGCATCTCTGCCATACTTTGATCTTATCCATGACATCTTCTTCGACTTCAAAATTGATCCGTGATTGACCTGCCCAACTCTCCCAAACTTTTGTTACTATTTCAACATTGTCTAATGTCAACCCACCAAACACGAGACCACGTTTATATGCTAATTCTTTCTCATACATGTCGATTATACGTGTTGCATACAAATGTGCCGAGTCAACGGACAGATCAGATACCACCAACGCATCGTCTATGTTTGTTTTGGCTGACGACGCTAACACTAGCTTTGATATTTCGTGTAAAGCCATTCGCATTGATTTGACGATTTTGGCGAATTCGTCGAGTGATCTATGGATACGCAAAACATTATCCGCGATCTCGCCAGTCTGTTTGTAGATGAGCAGATTAATGGTTTTGGAATCAAGATACGAAGGTGGGTTTGATGTGAACGATAAAGTAGCTTCTCTTTGTGTTTCAATGTTTACTAACAATGAAAACACAGCGCATGATTGGGCGTGCGTTCTAGCCCATTCTTTACTTAGCTTATCGATTCGCATCAATTGATTTACGTGTTGTGGAATGGCAGGCATTGTTTGAACGTTTTTTCTTTTCTTTTTGGCGTGGATTATTATTTTCGATGATCAATCACCTGACATGACATACCCATAGTCGATCATAACGCGACCATTTCAACTTGTATGCTCCCCTGTACTTGCCCTCAAGTCGTCAAACATACGCGTAAATACTCTAGCCTAATCCACTTTTCTCGTGTCGAATACCCACATATTATTCCGAGTCTATTTTATCGACGTTCGCTTCAGTTATACTCCATCAGCATGCTCAAACGCAAGGACCCACCAACTTCCGCAGCCGGGACTACCAAGAAAAAAGAGACAGATAAATCGACAGTCCAGAGTTATCTTACTTCGTGGGTCAAACCCACCGTAGAGACGCCGACAGACAAGACGTCAGTGACGCTGGATAGCCTGGCAGCAGGACTGGATGATAACACCAAGAAGTTGTTAAAGTTGGAAGCTGATACTATGAACAAAGAATGGTTGCTGGCGTTGAAGGCGGAATTTAAGAAGAATTACTTTTTGGAGGTGTGTATGGGTGCGTCTGAGTGTCATGTGATTCATGACAATTTCCCGTCTAACTCGCTGTGTAGTTAAAGAAATTTCTTGCGACTGACGCGAAGTCCTTCAAAATATTTCCACCCGGTACGCGAATGCAAATTGATGCTTATCATTTTTATGCGAATTATGGCTAATAGTGAAAATTATTCTAGCTGAGGATATTTATAGTTGGTCGAGATTTACACCTGTTTCGAAAGTTAAAGTTGTCATCCTTGGTCAAGGTGGGTGTCATTATCAACGGCTAAAGAAAAAATCAGACCATCACTATTAATTATATGTAACTTCCTAGATCCTTATCACAATGAGGGACAAGCCCATGGTAGGTCATCGATTGATATTCGACATTTGTTATTTGCAATAGAATGGATAGACTAAATCAATCCTTAGGTCTATGTTTCAGTGTTAGGCATGGTGTTGCACCTCCTCCATCCCTGATCAACATCTACAAAGGCATTAAAACCGACATCCCGACTTTCCGTGTACCCAAGCACGGGTTAGTAACACCTGGTCACTGAATGTCCAAAGTTTATTTTCTTTTTTCTTTTCTTTTAAATCAACTTGACTATCAAATTTACAGTTGTCTTGAAAATTGGGCTAAGAACGGTGTTCTATTGTTAAACGCATCACTTACCGTTCGCGCGCACGCCGCATCAAGTCATAGCAAACACGGATGGGAAGAGTTTACCGGTATAATAAATAACTTGTAAATCTGATTTATTATGACTGTGAGAATTATCACTTGTAATAACGCAATTACCTTGAACCAGATGCGGTGGTTAACTACTTGAGCGAAAGGAAATCCGGATTGGTATTCATGCTTTGGGGAGGACACGCTCAAAAGAAGGGAAAGCGTATTGACAAGGTGCCTATTGACAGCCCAACGGGTGGTATTTCAGCGATGCGAAAATTTGCCCGATATCACTCACGATTTTCCCTCTCTCCCATTAATAGCGGAAACACTTGGTATTGAATGCAGTCCATCCTTCTCCATTGTCTGCGCGAGGAGGATTCTTTGAGTGCCGTCATTGGTCACAGGCTAATGCATATTTGAAAAGTTTAGGAAAGGAAACTATTAATTGGGATTGTCTTGTGGATGATAATAATGATGTTGGTAATTTAGATATCGAACAAATGCCGCTAGAGGAAAAGGATGATGGCGTGCTAGAAACGGTCAGTGCTGACGATGAAAATGCAGTCGAGCAAGTGCCGACAGAGGAAGACCAAGCTGTTATGCAAGAAACTGCTAGTAACGATGCAGTTGAGCAAGTTGCAGTCAATTGACGGATGTATATAAAAGACAAATTTCTAATCACACGTTGTATATATGTCATGTACTAATTCTCGTCTTTTAACGGCGAAAGAGAGAGAATGGCATTCCCATTGGTCATATGTTTTGGAACAGGAATAGTCGCACACTTCTGTATATATTTTACATATTATTTTGCCGATTATATTACCAGGGAAAGAAAGCATTAAATAAATTACGGTTTTAACGTTATAATAATAATATATATACTATTCATTCGATTTATTTACTTGTCTACTTTCGTTGGGATATTTCCCGGTTGTCCAGATGCATTGACAATGGACTCGCGGCTAGTGTGTACCTGGAATACATAGTTACATATGACAAACATATCTTTAAAAAATTTTTTTGCAGCTAAACGTAGCGATTATACGTCCGATTATGAGATCATTGATTAGACATGTCTAAAGAGGAATTTACATAGCTACCATACACCGAAAATATCAATTGTGCAAGCTCTTTAATTTCTGATTACAGTAATGTTATATAGTATAGTAAGTAATAACAGCGTATCAGTGTTTCCTTAGCAAAAAGGACTTTGAAAAAAGTTTTTACAGCAGAAGTAGGTAATCTCCCTCATATAGATACACACTAAAAATTATTAGTAGAAAGTTAATAAATAATGTAAAGAAATAGTCCTAAAGATTGAAAATCATCAGAATTATTCATCATATCGATCGCCGTTTTATTTAGTCCAATATCTGACAAGCGAAATAGGAGCCTGGAGTGCTTTCTTGGCCGTTGAGGATTCGGCTGTCGGAGAGTCTGGTCGGCTAGCAGCTTTTGCTTTCTCTCCCTTCTTTCTGACTACAAGCACAGGACAGTCAGCATTACGAACTACATATTCTGATACGCTTCCGATGAGATTACTATTTTTCGAGTGAGCGAGAGATAGAAAGAATAGTTTAGTTATGGAATGCACGTTACTACCGCGCAAATGGCAAATGTGTGATAGTACTTGACGATATCATACCGTTTCAATAACCCAAGACCTCGAGTTCCGATAATAAACATATCCGCATGAGTATGTGAAGCGAGTTTGACAAGTTGGACTTTGGGATCTCCTTTCAGGATATAAAAGTTTGCGGTAATCTATAGAAAAACAATTGTAAAAACACAAGACTATTTAGTTACCATATACATCTCAGTCGATACAACCCGAATCCAGGTTTTCATCTCCTATTATCAACTCACCCCTTTGGAAGCCAATTCTTGTGCTAAAGGCTTCAACATGTCCGATGCATCTTGGTGGTCGGTGAACGACAAGCGTCGGTTAGTTTTCCTCTTTTCTACATGTTGAAATTGAGTTTTGTTGTAATCAGTACATCGAGTTCGAAATGGCTTTCTTGTGATACATAAACAGACATAAACAGTGCTATTTGTATAATATAACCAGGCAAGCGTTTAATCGCATAACCGCATCTCTTCTGTAGGAGAAGAAGTAATGGACCCAGTTCATTATGAACTAGCATTGTCGTTTCGCTGTCTGGCATATATAATACCGTCATCACCATCATCAACACCACACCACTTGATAATTACCAGCATTCTGAGCACGGGAGGTGTGTGTAGATAACCAAGCGGATTGTTCTTCGTCTACTACAGTGGCCAAATGGACATGATCGTATCCAGGAATTAAGATGTTATCCAAGGCATGTTGGTAGACAAACTAGAATGGGATAAAGCATTGGGGGATACAATTAGCTCGTTATTAACAAGAGAGATCCGTTATACATTAAGAGTCCTCATTGTTCAGACAGAGAATGCATAATTTGGGGCATTTCGAAGAGTAGACAGAAAATTGGTCGTTGCTCTTGCAAGACAGGTTGCTTTCATTTACCTTGCTGAAATCAGAGTTATCGTAAGCGAGCAAGATTTTGCGACGACGGTGAAGTTCAAGTGGTTTCTCGGGAATAGTAAGAACCATGTTTACAGTTTATTTACAGACAGATAAATATATATTGTTTGAAAAAGTGTTTGTGTATAGAAGGTAAGCGTAAGTCTGGTTTTTTTTTCCAAGTGTCGTAAGTTTGAAATGCAGAGGGGAAGGCTTTTAGTACTTTTATATATTTGATACAAAAAGCAAATTTCTTGAGTAATCTTAACCAAGTATGGAAATATTAACACGATAAGTAACATATTTATAACAATACTTGTCATATGTTGGGTGTATGACGGACGATATTGGCAGGGGAAAAGGGATGAGATGAAATCAATCAAAACATCGATTGTTGTAAATAATTAGTCTTTTGATCAAACTCTCGCTATTCCGATGCATCTCGGTGATTGACAGGATGACACATTAGTTGCCGTGTGTGTAGCAGATGGAGACGTTTTTTCTGATGATGCAATGTCGTTGGATATTGTTGAATGTTGTGGACGCTGGATAATTTATCAATCTATGTGCATAGATGGCGGCATATTATGGTTTAACGTTGAATTTGTACATCCTGTTTATAGTTTTGGAGAAAGCGGGAGAGAAAGCGAGAGAGAGAGAGAGAGAGAGAGAAACAATGTCAGTTCATCCCTTTTGACTATTCTTGGTAGGTAATGTGATTTTTTTTCGAGTCATTTGCTATAAACAGGTCATACGAATAGGAAATGGGGCAATGTTCAATTGAAGGTGGGGGGAGGGGGATGCCGTCATAACCAGCCGGGTTTGTCAAATCTAACTGGATGACACAACAACAGTCGATGTCAACATACGATAGTTTATGGGTTGATTATCATAGTGTTAACCCATTGTCATACCTTTGCCCGAGTTCCACAGTCGCTATATGATATCATTTTCATGTACATTTTATTAATACACTAATTATAGAAGTAAACACCATGACTCAA